TGACACCCCTTCCCTCTCTAAAGGCCTCACCACAACAGACAATATCTTACATTCATTCTCTCACTGGATCACATCTTACGTACCAGGACAGGCAGCGTGGGATAGTGAATACAGGGCTGGCCTCGGAGGCAATGAGATCTGGGTTCAAGTCTCGGTTCTAACACATCCTGGCTGGGTGACCTTGGCCTAGCTAGCCTCACACCTCAAGGCCCCAGGCATCTCTCTAAGTTACAGAGGAGGTATTGATTGGCATTACTGAGGGAGCCCTGGGGCAAAAACACAGGCTTAGCTAATAAATAGGTAAGTAGATAGATAAACAGATAGATAGATAGATAGACAGGATGATAGAGATAGATAGAGATAGATAGAGTAGATAGGATAGAGAGAGAGTAGATAGGATAGACAGATAGGTGATTGAAATAGAGATAGATACATAGAGTAGATAGGATAGATAGACAGATAGATGATAGAGATAGATAAATAGATGATAGAGATAGGTGGATAGACAGAACAGATAGAATAGATATGTAGATAGAGATAGATAAATAGATAGATACAGTAGATAGGGTAGATAGATAGATAGATAGATGAGCAAACAAGTAATTAAATAATTAAATGGATGAACTACTAAACATATATACAGAAGTGAGTGTGCATATATATACACCACCCCCCCAGGTCCTCTGACTTCAAATCCAAAACTCTTTCCACTCTGGCCCATAGCCCTCCTTGCAATGCCTACATCACAGAGATTATTAGGAGAAAAAAGTACTTCTTGTAAGCCTGAAAACACTCAAAAATTATCATGCTTGTAAAATTATAAACAAAACATTGATATAAAGCCTTTAAGTACTATTAAAAGACGTGAGTTGTTATTGTGACCTCAGAGTCTCCAGGGTCTCCCCGGCTCTCTCCCTCTTCCTCCATGGTCCCAAAGCACATTTACAGTCTCTGCAAACACGGTCTTCAGAGGATCTTGTACAAAGACCCTTAAATGAAAGATTACCAAGTGAGGGAGGGAGGAAAGCAGGGGAAGAGAATGCAGAGCTGACTCCTGGCATGGAGGGCAGTGCCCCAGACCCCTGCTCCTCCTCTCTGCCACAGACCCAGGGCAGAGAGGTTGGGCCATCAGGGCTTTCTGAGCAGGGTGGCAGCAGCCGGGCCAGGAGTGTCCCACCCTCTGCTGAACACCGCAGCCTCATTGCAGCGCGAGGAGGCAGCCGGCCTGTCATTCTGCAGTAGCAGCAGCAGCAGCAGCGCCCACATGCCTGGCGCTGGCTCACTGCATCCTTTGTCTTGGTGGAAGAAAGGCAGTGGTAGTCCTCAGCCCCCACGCTGGGCCTCTCACTGGCAATCGGACTCTGGAAACTGAGAGAACAGGAACTGGACCAGCTGAGGCTATGGCAGGAGACAGTGTTAGGGGCTGGGGACAGGAGTGACTTTCCAGAAACCAAGAAATAAAGGCAAATCAAGGGCTGACTAAGGACCTAATGCAGCTTGGTGACCTCTCTGCTCAAATCTGGGAACTTTCTAGGGCACTGGATTGAGTCTATTAAGATGAAATTCAAGAGAGATAAATGTAAAGTCTAACATTTAGGTTCAAAAAATCAACCTCCCAAGGGCAGGATAGGGGTGGACTTCTTAGACTGCAATTAATCAGTCAGTCAACAAAAATTTATTAAGCTAGATGGCTCAGTGGACAGAGTGCTGGGCTTGGAGTCAGGAAGACCTGAGTTCAAATCTGGCCTCAGATACTCACTAGCTAGGTGACCTTGGGCAAGTCACTTAAGTCACTCTGTTTGCCTTAATCTACTGGAAGGAAATGGCAAACCACTTCAGTATCTTTGCTAAGAAAACCCCATGGACAGCATGGCCCACAGGGTCATGGAAGAGTCAGACACTGCTGAAAAACAAATGTGCCAGACACTGTACTAAGCACTGGGGATACTAAGATTAGGGACACTATGAAAGACCAAAAATCATTCCCATTTTGAAGGATGAACATTCTAATGCGAGAGATAGCATGTTAATGACTAGATACAGGGAAGAGAGAATAGTGTAGAGATTAAGGTAATGTGAAGGGGGATTAGCCCCTGGGGAGCAGAGACCAGGCCTCCTACAGAAGGTGGGATCTGAGCTGAGCCTGGAAGGAAAGCCAGAGAAACAGAGGCACAGGTGAGGAGGGCAGATAATTTCAGGATGGGGCACAGCTGGTGCAAAGACATGGAGATGAGAAATAGACGGCCATGCTGGGATCTACAAGGAAGCCGGTATAACTGGATTGTGGAGTATGAGAAGGGAGAAAGGCGTAAGAAGTCTGGGAAGATACAAACGGGGCAGATCATAAAGAGTTTTAATGTCAAACAGAAGATTTTGTGTTTGATCCTAGAAATGAGAGGGCGCAGGGGAGGTCATTGAGCATGGAGGTGACTGGCCAGTCCTGGGTTAGAATGGGGAGAGATCTGGAGCAGGAAGAGTGGCCTTCCAACAGAGGATAGCAGTGATCTAGGTGAGGGGTGATGGGGCCCTGAATCAAGGCCCAGTGGCCAGAAGGGGATGTGGACAAGGGCTGCTGGGAAGGTAGCATCAACCAGATGTGGGAGGGGGAATAGTGAGAGAGAGGAGTGGGCGATGACCCCCAGATGCAAGCCTGGGTGAGCAACAGGCTGGTGGTGTCCATAATGGGGAAATTAGGAAGAAGGGAGGGTTTAGGAGAAAAGATAAGGAAGTTGTGTTTTGGCCTCATTGAGTTTCGGGTATCTACCGGACGCTTAGTTAGATACATCCAAGAGGGAGACTAGAGGTCAGGAGAAAGGTCAAGGCTGAATGAATAGACCTGGGAATTGTGTGCACAGAGGTGACAGCTGAATCCGTGAGAAATTACCGAGTGACTTAGTACAGAAGGAGAAGAGAAGAGGGCCCAGGACAGAGCCTGAAAAAGATCTGAGGGTTTCAGTGGCCTGCAAGCTCTGTATGAGCCTGAAGTATTGAAGCAGCAACTGAAAAAAGATAACTCAGTTTTGGACTGCATTAAGGGAGGGAGAGAATGAGAATTTGTTAAGTGCCTACTATGTGTCAGGCACTGTGCTAAGTGTTTTCCAATTATTATCTCATCTGATCCTCACAACAACCCTCGGAGGTGGGTGCTGTTAACATCCTCACTTTGCAACTGAGGAAACTGAGGCAGAGATTAAGTGACTTGTCCAGGGTCACACAGCTAATAAATGAAGCTAGATTTGAACTCAGGTGTTAAAGGACTTGGGCAACTAGGTAGCACAGTGGTTAGAGCACCAGGCTTGGAATCAGGAAGACTCATCTTCAGCACTTACTAGCTGTGTGACCCTGGACAAGTCACTTAATCCTGTTCGCCTCAGTTTTCTCATCTGCAAAATGAGCTGGAGAAAGAAATGGCAAATCACCCCAGTAAAAAACCCAAAATGGGGTCACAAGCTATCAGACATGACTGAAATGACTCAACAACAATTCCAGTGCTTTAACCACTGTGCTACCTGAGAGATGTGGTAGCTTCCAGGAAGAGGGAGATGATCATCCCTCATCTGAAATATTGTGCACAGTGCTGAATGGACAGTGATAAAATGGAGAATTTCCAGAGTAAGGCAACCAAGATGGTGGAGTACCATGGGTCCAGGCCATATAAGGACTGGTTGAAAGGAACTGGAGATTTTGAGCCAGGAAATAAAAAAGCTCAGAGGAGACGTGTTAGTTGTGCATTTATTTTGCTTGGCTTAGACTCCAGGAACTTCATTCCCCACCCCTAACTCTCCACCCCCAGCTGACCACCTGGAATCTCATCACCACCCAGACTGACTCAGGTTTGGAATACTCAGCACATTCTTAACAATGCCTCTCCCCTCTGATTGGAGGGCTGGAGGGAGGAGCACTGCCGCCTGCTAAAGCATCATTTATAGAGAGCTTACAGCCTTCAGGCTAACAGGGTACTTTATGTGCTCCTCTTTCCCATTAGATTGTAAGCTCCTTGAGGGCAGGGACTATCTCTTTTTCTTTTTTGTATATCTAGCTCTTAGCACAGTTCTTTGCACATAGTAGGCACTTAATAAATGCATATTGAATTGAACTATTTTTATCCCCAGTGTCTAGCATACTGCCTGGCACACAGTAGGTACTTAATAAATGTCTGTTGAGTTGAATTGAATTATTTGTATCCCCAGTGCCTAGCATACTGCCTGGCACATAGTAGGCACTTAATAAATGTTTGTTGAGTTGAATTGAATTATCTGTATTCCTAGTGCCTAGCATACTGCCTGGCACATAGCGATAAATGAATGCTGATTGAATTGAAGGGCTGGTCCGTGGAAGAGGGATCAGCTTTGTTCTTCGACTTACCCCAGGAGAACAGAACCAGGCATGATGGGGGGCAGCGGCAAAGATGCCAGTTTCGGCTTGGCATCAGGACAGACTTCCTAACAGTTACAGCCGTCCCAAAGCAGAATGGTCTACCTGCCACACTGGAGGCTCCAGGTTGAGCATATGACAGGATTATAGCAGATTACTGGATGGCCTCTGAGCCCTTCAGCAACATAAAATTCAGAGGTTCTCTGGTTCAAACTGGGAAAAGGAAGAGCTGGGATTCAACCCAGGTCTACCCATTTGACTCCAAATCTAGCTGTCTCTCCCCCTATACTTCATGTCTTCCCATAAAGCATGGAGATATGACTGCTTTTTCCCCAACATTCTCAGGGGGCCTCCTTCTAGGTGTTTGAACATCTGTGGATACCAGCTTCTGGCTGCCAGTTTCTGATTGCTGACAGATTGAAATGACAAGAAACTAGCCGAGGGAAGACCCAAAGGACCTGCCCAGCCTGTGGTGCTCTTGGCAAAGTCAATCATCCCGGCTCCTGGTTCCCATGCACCACCAGCCAGAGACTTGGGTTGAGGGGGAGGACCAGAGGTGGGGGAGAGCCAGTGAATGCCACCCTTTCCACTCTTTCCCTCCCTCTCTCCATCCTTCACTCACTCACCCTCTGCATCCACCGTCTCCTTCATGACAATCTCTACCCTGTCCACGTGGTGCCGGTTCCAAAGTCGGTCCAAGGCTTTCCAGTTCCGGTCTCGGAAGGGCAGGATCTGGGCCACTGCCTGTCAGGAGAGAAGAGGGGCTGAGTTCGCCATGTCCGTGGAGAGCCCCCCAATCTTCCTGATTTCCCACCTGGGGATAGTCACTGGTCACTGGGATTGGATGAAGGACGGGTAGATGAACAGCACAAACCTTACGAATAATGCAACCTCATTCATTTGGTGTCATCAGTGGAGGGAACTCCCAGTGTGGATACTCCCTCTTGCAATGCAGTCTAGTCATTTGTCATTTCTAGATCCTTGGGGAGGGGGGAGAAATTAAGGGCTCACACAGTCAGCGTCAGATTAAAAGGTGGGACGTCTACCCTGCTTCTTAGGAACATGGTGTTCGTCCGAGATGACCCAGGTAGCAAACAGCAGAGATGGAATTGGAACCCAAGTTCTCCCCTTCCATTCAGCCCCCTTTCCCAGCCCTTTCCTCTCCTTGACACCCTCCCTTTTTTATTTTCCTTTCTTTTTGAGGAGATCCAGACTTGTGATTTCAGGGCTTCCCCAGAAGGAGATTCCTTCTACTGAAAGCCCACAAGCACTCTCTCTCATTTACTGTCTTAGTGAGTTATCTAGCACATTGAGGAGCTGAAGAGGGAGGGGGAGAAAAAAATATTTATTAAGCACCTACTATGTACCAGGCACTGTGTGCTAAGCACTTTACAATTATTATCTCATTTGATCCTCACAACAACCCTGGGAGGCTGGTGCTGTTATTATCCCCATTTCACAGCTGAAGAAAATGAGACAGACAGAGGTTAAGTGACTTGCCCAGGGTCACACAGCTAGTATCCGAGGCTGGATTTGAACTGAGATCTTCCTGACTCCAAGCCCCGTCACCTTAATTGCTCAGAATTAGAGACAATATGTGTCAGAGGCAATATTTGAAGTGAGGTCTCCCTACCTCCAAGGCCAGCTCCCTATCTCTAGTGTGATGAAGAATGCTAGGTGGCCTCTCATGCCTCAGTTTCCTCATCTGTAAAATGAGGAGGATGACTAGGTAACCTATAATGTCTCTTATGATATTTCCACCAGGCACTGCATTTGGTCCTGAGGATGCAAAGAAAAAAAAGTCCCTGTTCTTAAGGATGGATCATAAGATATGTGCATATACATAAGATATACATATATACATATTATATTACATATACAATACATTTTCTTGTTCAGTTGTTTCAGTTGTGTCTGACTTATGGTGACTTCATTTGGGGTCTCCTTGGCAAAGACACTAGAGTGGTTTGCCATCTCCTTCTCCAGCTCATTTTACAGGTGAGAAAACTGAGGCAAACAGGGTGAAGTGACTTGCCCAGGGTCACACAGTTAGTAAATGTCTGAGGCTGGATTTGAACTCAGGTCTCCTTGACTCCTGGCCTGGTGCTATATCCACTGCACCACCTAGCTGCCCATATAATATATATATTATATAACACATATATATATTATATTACATATACAATAAATATATTATACTGCATGTCATCTATGTGTATTATACATGTATAATATATAATTGTATATGTTATACATATATTTTATATATTATACATATATATTATAATATTATATATTATACCTACATCACATGTAAATACAAATATCTATATATTTGTATTTTAACATTTATTCTGAGTACCAAATTCTCTCTCTCTGCCCCTCCCACCTCTCCCCCTAACTGATGAGAAGACAAACCATATGTATCATACAGTTTTAAAGGTTGGAGGACCAGAAGGGTGAAGACAGTCTCACCCAAACTAGCTCTGACTGGGTATGAAGCCAGTGGCCCAGCAGCCCAATCAGGAAAGCACTAACCCCTGTGGGCCACCCTCCATCTCCCACCTGCTTGCCAAGGTAGTGGTCCACACGATACATCTCCTCCTCTCGGAAGAAGGTTCCAAGCTCCTTGGAGAGCTCCTGGGCAGAGCGTCGGTCATGCCCGAAGGGCTTCTCGAGGACCACACGCAGCCAGGCCCCTGGGCCCGGCCGGCAGCTGCTGTTGATTTTCTGAGCAATGTCCGCATAGGCAAAGGCAGGTACGGAAAAGTAGAAGATCCTTCCAGACTCTTGAAGCCCCTCCTGCTGGAGCCGGGCCTCAATGTCCTTGCTGAGGGTCACATAGTCCTCGGCTGTCCGCAGCTGCCGATACCGGCTCAGCTGCAGAAACTGCCCCTTGAGCTGGGCACAGCGCTCAGGCAGCACATCCAAGGGGCAGGAGAGCTTCTCCAGGGCCTGGGCCATGAGCAGCTGCCCCTGCTCAGGCCGCGTCAGGGCCGCCCCATGGAAGCTAAAGCTGTGGCCGTTGCCTGCCTCGTCCAGATAGAGCTGGAACAGTCCCTGCCACAGGTACTTTTTGGCCAGGTCCCCCGTGGCTCCCAGGAGGACGATGGAGACGTGGCCTCGGGGCTCCTGTGCTAAGACAGAGCCCAGCATAGCGGCGGCACAGATGACAATCCTCAGCATCTTGAGCCCTAGGGAGCGAGGGGACACAAAAAGACATTAAACAAGAAAAGATCAGACACAGGGCTTGAGTGCTGCTGATGTGAAAGAGGTCCCAGCATCTCCTGCTGGCTAGAAAACATCTATGTGTCATTTATAACCACTTTATTACCTGGGAAATCCCTTAGACTTTGGCCTCCTGCATACTGATGAGGGCTGCCTTCATCGGCAAAGACCGGCTCCAGCCCAGCCTGGGGCAAAGCTCATGTCTGCAGGAGGCAGAGGTGGTCACTGCAGGGGTCACAGGCTGGTGCTGCCCCTGGTGGAGACTGTGCCAGGCAAGAGGGAGAGGCAGGCAGCAGCAGCAGGCCACAGGACCAAAGGTCATGGGGCCCAAACCCCTCGCTGCACGCCCAGCAGAGCAGAGTCACTTGTTCACTTGTATGTAAGAGCAGAGACAGAATTCACCCCAAATCCTGGTTCCAAAGTCAGGGCTCTGGTTCCTACTCTAATGGAGTTAATTATGTATAAATAAGATACATACAAAATTAACTAGAGATACTGAAAAAAGGGAAGACACTAACATTAAGGGAGACAGAGAAAGGCTTCCTGTACAAGGTGGGATCTTAGCTGGGAGGTGGAGATGAGGAAGGAGAACATTCCAGGCATGGGGGACTGCAGGAGCAAAGGCCTGGTGATGGGAGATGGAGGCGGGGCAGCCAGAGAGAATGTCTGGAGCTGGAGATAGAAGGTCTTGGGGGTGTCTTGTTCCAGAAACACCAAGGAAGCCAGTGTCACTGTACCAAAAAGTATGTGGGGGAGTGGTAATTCTGCTGAGTTATTCCTTTTTTTTGTTGTTGTTTTTTTGAGGCAATTCAGGTTAAGTGACTTGCCTAGGGTCACACAGCTACTAAGGTCTGAGGCCGGATTTGAGCTCCAGTCCTCCTGACCTAGCACCAGTGCTCTAGCCACTTTGCCACCTAGCCATCCCTGAGTTATTCTTTAGTGTAAGTAATATGATCTGGCCTTGAAGCCAAGAAGACCCGAATTCAAATTCTGCCAGCTAAATAATCCTGTTCACTTAACTTCTCAATACTCTTAGGCAACTGTCTTAAGATCATAACTTGCCCTAGAAGATGCCGACCCTCATTGGTGGAGGGATTTTCCTCACTCAGGAGCCCCTTCTATCAGTGAAATCACACGGACAGTGACTAGCCCATAAGGGATGGCTGGGGGGAGGCAGAGGACTAAATTAGAAAACACAGGTGATTGTTAAAACTAAAGACATCTCGACAAAAGGAAACCCCAACCAGTACCAGCGAGGGCTGGCCAATTCCGTTCGGTCTGGGGGCCCTGCAGCCGTAAGCAGCTCGCGTCACTGCCTCTCTCCAAGGTGCTGGAGCCCTGGCCAGGAACCAGGCCCCTGCAGCCCCCTGGGACCGGGCAGCGGAGGGAATGTGCACCGAGGCTGGACCCTGCGTCTGCCATCCGGCAGCCTTTGCTGTTGTTCCACCTGGCTATTCTGGGAGTGGGGGTTTGGTTTGGTTTTTTTTTTTCCTTTCCCCTCTCTGCTTCTCTCCTCACTGACCTTGCAGGTTTTTCCTTCTCTCCAAGGCAGAGGAATCTCTAAAGGGGAAACCTGCAGAGGACCATGGAATGGGGTGCAGGCAGACACGGCAACCCCACTCATCTACTGAGATGGGGGTAAAGAGGAGGGTATGGATGAAGAGGTTGGAGGGGCACTGCCTCATTGTCCCCTCCTATGCCCCCATTCCCCTTTCCCCTGTCCCCTTAAGCACTGATCAAGGGAGGAGAGGGATTAAGCCTTCTGAAACACAGAGCTCAACCCCTGAGTCTTAGTCATACTTAATAAATAGTGCCTAACCCACAGTAGGTGCTTGATAAATGCACATCGGACTGAATTACATTAACTTGGTTACCTCTAAAGCAGGAGTTCTTAACCATCTTTATGTCATGGGCCCCTCCCCTCTGGCAGTCTGGTTAGTATGGTGTGTGTGACTCTCTCGGAATAATGTTTATAAGTAATTGAAGGAAATACTAAATGTCATACATTAGTGAAAATTGGTTCCCCCCTCCAAGTTCAGAGACCCCCTAAAATCTATTCAGGCCTTTCAGGTCTTAGCCCAATAGGTCCTTCTATAATGGAAGCCAGCCTCCTGATCTCTGAACAGTGCTTCACAGCCTCAGAAGGCAGTATAGACAGAGCCACGCACCTCCTTCCCTACCCACCTGCCCACCCCACACACAGTGCTTTGCAGAAGTGGGGGGACTATGAAAATGGGACACCGCTTATAACATCAGAATTTTTCAAATGTAGGTTAGTTTTGCTGAACTGGTTTTCTTCCCATCTTTTTTTATTCTTTGTTATAAGAGATGGCTCTCTGGGAGACAGAGGAGATGGAAGGGTCGGGGAGACAACATTGAAAAATGTCAGTGACATGAAAACAAAATGGAGCAATAAGTATTTATTTATTTATTTATTTGGAGGTAATCAAGGTTAAGTGACTTGACCAGGGTCACCCAGCTAGTAAGTGTCTGAGGCCGGACTCAGGTCCTTCTGACTTCAGAGCCAGTGCTCTATCCGCTGCACCACCTCGTTGCCCCTTAGTATTTAATTTTTGTTTTTGTTTTTGGCTAGGCAATGGGGTTAAGTGACTTGCCCAGAGTCACACAGCCAGTAAGTGTTATGTGTCTGAGGCTGGATTTGAACTCAGGTCCTCCTGACTCCAGGGCCAGTGCTCTATCCACTGTGCCACCTAGCTGCCCCTCTTAGTATTTATTTTTAAAAAGAAAAGGGTGAAACCAAGCAAATGCTTTCCTCCCTCTACAATAAACTGATCAAGTAACAAGCATTTATTAAGCTCCTATCGTGTGCCTGTCAGTAAGTGCTAAGTACTAGAGACATAAAGTAAAAAACACAGTTCCCATCCTCCAGAGTCACATGCTAATGGGAGAGACAGTTACCCTACAGTCTAATCCTACTGGCCTCACAAAGGACTCTACAGCTTCCGTCTCACTGCTTTTGAACCAACCATCCCCCCCCCCAAGGCTGGAATGCTCCCCCTCGGCACCTCTTAAAAATGCTCAGCTTCCTTCAGAATCCAACTCAAGTGCTACCTTCTACAAGAAGTCTTTCCTGATCCCCCCAGCTGCCAGTGCCTTCTCCCCCCACCCCAGATTACCTTATGTCTATTTGGTAAAGGGAAGTAAACTGAGACACAGAAGGAAAAAAACGCTTGCTGAAGATCATATAGCAAGACTGAGGCAGAATCAGAGAAAGAAGGCAGATAAGTGAGCTCCAGGGTCGGTACTGAACAAGGGACACAGGGAGGGAGGGAGCTGAGGCACACGCCTTTAGGACAGACACAGACTCTCTGGCACTCAGGGTTGAAGCGTTCTGTCTAATTTGACACAGCCAAGCTCACAGGTTCCCTTCCTGAAGTACAGCCTCTCCCACCTTTCTGGCCCCACCCTGGCCAGCTACTGGGGGGTCAGGGGAAGGGGAAGGCATGCTGCTGCCTATAGCTAAATCTCTGGACGTCCAGGCCCTGTTCCTCACCCTAAGAGGGAAACCATCACTCTGGACACTGGGTGATAACCGTAGAAGCCATATACAAAAACCTATTCAAATTCTGCCGAGGGAAATGGAACAAGCCAGTGTCTGGGAATCAGAAGACCTGGGCTGCAGGCCTGTAGGGCTCTACCAATGACCAGAGGGCCCATAGTCACAGCCTTTTCATAGAGATCAGGGACCTCAGAGCTGGAAGGGCCCTTAGAACAGAGAATGTCAGAGCTGGAAAGGCCCTTTGAACATGGAATGTCAGGGCTGGGAGGGCCCTCAGAACATGGAATGTCAGAGCTGGGAGGGATCTAGAACATGTACTGTCAGAGCTGGGAGGGCCTTAGAACATGGAATGTCAGAGCTGGGAGGGATCTAGAATATGGAATGTCAGAGTTGGGCAAAATCACTGCCCCACTTTGGGCTTTGATGTCCTCCTATCCATAATGTAGGAGCTAGATGTGATGATGATCTCTTTGGCAAGGTCCTCCCAACTCCGACCTTCTATGTCCTAAGGGACCCCTAGCTCTTTGACAGTTTGGGTTCTAAGGGCCCTCCCAGCTCTGACATTCACTGTTCTAAGGGCCTTCCCAGCTCTGACATTCTGTTCTAGATCCCTTCCAGCTCTGATATTTCATGTTCTAAGGCCTTTCCCAGATCTGAAGTCCCATCATCTCTATGAAAATGCTGTGACTATTCATATTATAGACTTTTTCCTTTCCGAAAATCCCGTTAAGAATTCCTTCAGTGAAGTGAGTGCTTAATCCCACTCATTACCTACCCAATGGGGCAAAACAAATTTAAATAAAAGACTGGGAAAGGAGGCCAACGCCAAAAGATCATTCCATAATGATGCAGCAAATCTGAAATCATGACGTGGCTGGGGCTCCATTTACAAAACGACTCTGCTGGGCAGACTGCCGGCTGGTAGAGAAGATGCATCCAGGAGGAATTATTTGGCACCTAGGTCTGCTAGAGACAAGTGACCCTGGACAAGACACTTCACATTTCTGAATGTCACTTTCAAGGAGTAACAGAAAACCACAGATTTAAGCCGGATGGGACCTTCAGGGGATCAATTGCCCACCCACCCAATCAATCAATCAGTCACCAAACTTTAAGTAACTACCCGCTAAGTGCGGGAAGATGCCCAAAAAGAGAAAAGATTGTCTGCCCTCAGGGAGCTCATAAGCTAAAGGAGAAAGCTCTCAATCATAAAATCATTGGCCGAGAGCTGCAATGAACCCCAGAGACCACCTAGTACAACCCCCTTAACTTTATAGATAAGAACACCAAAGCTCATCAAGGTTAAGTGTTGTCCCAAAATTTACACAAATAGGATTCGGACTCAGGTCCCACCTCGGGAGCCAAAGCCCTTATCTCTAAAATACAATGACTAGGACTGATTCCTGTTTCCCTAGAGGATCCTGGGGAAGTTTTCTCTGCTCCTCTACCTTGGTCTTGAGAAACCCCATCCAGTTTTTTGGAGAACAGACTCACCTTTGCGAGGACAGGGATCTGCTAGGCTCCCAAAGGGTCTGTGGGGATGTGGGCCCCACCAAAGGCTCCGGATGGGATTCAACTCCCCTTCTCCCCTCGGCTCTCCCTAGAGAGAGAAGCAGAGGGCAACAGGTCATCAGATCTGAAGCATTCTCTGGTCAACTGATTACAGACCAAACAGAAGCCTGGGCCAGGGCCCAGCCAACAGTGATTTCTGGTAAACTGGAGGAGGAAACGAGGAAGGGAGGGGCTGAGAGAGGAGGGTCCGACTTGACCCCGCCTCCTGTTCCCAATTCCCACCCCACCCCTGCCCTTTCATTCTGCCTAAGTGGGGAGGGTGATGAGAGAAGGAAGGGCGGGCAGTTTTCTGTTAAATCCCTCATTCGGCCCTGGAATTTTTAAAGTGTGCACAGAAGTGAAATGCCAAATATCTTCTTTCTTTTGGAAAAAAAAAAAAGATAAACGTTGAAAGAGCAGCATAGGCATGGTGACTATGAAAGCTAGGGTCAGATTCAGAGGCCTGCCTCCGACAATAGTAGTGGAAGCCTCAGTTTTCTCATCTATAAAAACAGGAGACAGGGACTAAAGCAGTGATTTCTTTAGTCTAAGGGCTCCCAGATAAGGAAGATCCCTCTAAAGATGCAAGGTGGCCTGCTGGGTAATTTCCAGTCTTAGACAACTGCCTTGGGCACTGAAAGACAGTCAATAGTCTACAAACATTTATTAAGAGTCTATTATGGCCCAACTGCAGGAGATAGGCAGAGAAATTCCATTTAAAGTTACTGTAGACATTATAAAATATTTAGGAGTCTGCCTACCGAAACAAACCCAGGAACTCTATGAACACAATTACAAAACACTTTTCACACAAATGAAGTCAGATCTAAATAATTGGAAAAACATCAGTTACTCATGGGTAGGGCGAGCTAATAATAAAAATGACAATTCTACCTAAGCTAATTTACTTATTCAGTGCCATACCAATCAAACTACCAAAAAATTATTTTATAGAGTTAGAAAAATTAATAACAAGATTCATTTGGAGTAACAAAAGGTCCAGAATATCTATATCAATGAAAAGAAATGCAGGGGAAAGTGGCCTAGTCATTCCAGATCCTAAATTGTATTATAAAGCAATAATCATCAAAACTGCTTGGTACTAGCTAAGAAATAGAGTGGTGGATCAGTGGAATAGGTTAAGTATGCAAGACACAGTAGTCAATGACTATAGTAATCTATTACTTGATAAACCCAAAGACCCCAGCTTCTGAGATAAGAACTCACTCTTTGACAAAAACTGCTGGGAAAACTGGAAAAGAGTATGGCAGAAACTAGGCTTAGACCAAAATCTCACACCATATACCAAAATAAATTCAAAGTGGTTCATGATTTAGATATAAAGGCTGATAATGTTAGCAAACTGGAAGAGCAAAGAATAGTTTACCTATCAGATTTATGGAGAACAGAAGAATTCATGACCAAAGAGGAGATAAAGAACATTACGAAAAGCAAAATGGATAACTTTGATCACATTAGATTGAAAAGTTTTTGCACAAACAAAGCCAATGCAACCAAGATTAGAAGGAAAGTAGAAAATTGAGAATGTTTACAACCAGTCTCTTTGATAAGGGCCTCATTTCTAAAATATATAGAGAACTAAGTCAAATTTATAAGAATACAAGTCATTCCCCAATTGATAAATGGCCAAAGGATATGAACAGGCAGTTCTCAGAGGAAGAAATTAAAGCCATCTATAGTCATATGAAAAAATACTCTAAATCACTATTGATTAGGGAAATGCAAATCAAAATAACTCTGAGGTACCACATCACATCTATCACATTAGTCAAGATGACAAAACAAGAAAATAATAAATGTTGGGGAAGATGTGGGAAAATTGGAACACTAATGCATTTTTGGTGGAGTTGTGAGATGATGCAACCATTTTGGAGGGCAATTTGGAACTATGCCCAAAGGGCTATCAAAATATGCATACCCTTTGACCCAGCAATACCACTTCTAGGGCTACATCCCAGAGTGATCATACAAATGGGAAAAGGACCCACACGTACAAAAATATTTATAGTAGCTCTTTTTGTGGTAGCAAAGAATTGGAAAATGAGAGGATGCCCATCAATTGGGGAATGGTTGAACAAGTTGTGGCATATGAATGTAATGGAATACTACTGTGCTATAAGAAATGATAAACAGGCTGACTTCAGAAAAACCTGGAAAGACTTGTATAGTCTGATGTTGAATGAAGTGAGCAGAACCATGAGAACATTGTACACAATAACAGCCACTGTGTGCTATGACTAACTTTATTAGACTTAGCTCATCTCAGCAATGCAAGGATCTAGGACATCTCTGAAAATCTCATGATGGAAAATGCTATCCACATCCAGAGAAAGAACTGTGGAGTTTTAATGCAGATCAAAGCATACTATTTGCTATTTTTTTCTTCTATTGTGTTTTATTTCCTCTTTCTGGTGGTTCCTCCTGTCAGTTCTAATTCTTACTTACAACATCACTAATGTGAAAATATATTTAATAGGAATGTATATGTATAACCTATGGCAGAGATCCCTCCTTAGGGAGGGAGGTGGGGAGGGAGTGGGAGAAAAATTTAAAACTCAAAAGCCTATGGAAATGATTGTTGATAATTCAAAATAAATTAATTTTTTTTTAAAAGTCTATTATGTTCCAGGTACAGCAAGCGCTGGGGGTAAAAACACAGGGGAGAAAAAAGACATCTTTGCCCTTAGGGAGCTTCCAATCTAACAGGGTAAGACAACTGTGGTTTGTCCTTCATTCTGGAAGAGGACTATGACATCAGGGAGGTGATGCCATGACTCGCAGGTGAATTGGATTTTAATGAGGGAGGGCTGTGCAAAGTCACCAGCCTTGCTTTCTCTTTTGGAGCCATCTGGGTCCAGTGGCAAGATATAGATCAGGATGACTGGAGATGGCCCTGGATGTAGTGGGAGACCTTGGTTTTTTTAAGCTAAGATCTTTAATAGGTCTCAGTTTGAGTGAGGCAACACCCATTCAGTGAATAGGAGTCATGGGATGGCTTCTTTAATAAAAAAAAAAAACATCAAACTGGGAGGGTAAGACCCTCAGGGTTGCTGGCCAAAAGAGAAACAGTTACTATTTACATTCACTCTGAGCCAGGTGGCCCAAAAATAACCATTAAATGGTTGTTGTCCAATCAATGAGATCCGAGTGAATTGGGTTTAAGGTGTGGTCTTGGAGAAAGAGATCTAGCCAGTAAACTCCAAGTGAACTAGGCAGCTTTCCAACATCAAACTTTACCTTCCATTGATTGGACAACAATAGGACTCCTTATATGGAAGAGCTGATAGCCAAGCTGGTCAGTAAGCATTTATGAAGCACCTATTGTGTGTCAAGCACTGTGCCAAGTGCTGGGAATTCAAAGAAAGGCAAAAGATACTACTATAAATACTATAAATATTTTGGTTTATAAGCTTATATCATCACCTTTTATCATAAAGAAGTAGAAACAAAAACATCCAATGATTGGGGGTGTATCTAAACAAATTGTAGAGAAGCATGCATACAAAGAAAAAAAGAGAGGACTTACACATATTGATACAAAGTGAAGTAAACAGAACCTGAAAAACTATGTAACACAACTACAACCATGTAAACGACAAAAGAAAAAAAAAAGCTGAACACTATAATTAAAATGGCCAAGCTTGTCCCCAAAGAAATGAGAAAATGCACCACTCTTCTTTGCCAAGGGAAAGGAACACTCTGGATATGGAACACAGTGTCTACCTTCAAACACATTTGATGTGTTGCTTAATTTTCTTCAACTATTTTTCCCTCTCTGTTATCAGTTGTTACAAGATGGATCTCAGGCGAGAGCTGGAAATTGGCAGGCAACTGGATCGTAGTTGTGCTGGGAGCTTTCGCGGCCACGATTTGGGGAGTGGGCCAATAATAGGAGTCCCTGCCCTCATGGAGCTCACAGTCTAATGAGGGAAACAAGCCTGGTTTTCACTGAATTTTCCTATTCATTACTTCATTTGCACAGCTCTGGCTCTCTTAAATCCATTTGCAAGTCAAGACCTCACCCTCCTGATGTCATTGGTCCTCTTTTAGAATGAAGGACAAACAACTTCATTTGGATTATCTGAGAGTTTTATTATCAGAGATCTTGATCAGGAAGGGTCCTCTTTTGTTGTTGTTTAGTCATATTCAATCATGCCCAACTCTCCGTGACCCTGTTTGGGGGTTTTTTTGGCAAAGACGCTGGAGTGGTTTGCCATTTCCTTCTCCAGCTCATTTTACAGATGAGGAAACTGAGGCAAACAGGGTGAAGTGCCTTGCCCAGGGTGACACAGCTAGTAAGTGTTTGAGGCCAGATTTGAACTCAGGAAGAGGAGTCTGTGCACTGTGGCGCCACCTGGCTGCCCCTAGGGGGGGCTCAGCAGCCCTCTAATCCAAGGCCCTCATTTTACAGATGAAGAAATTGAGCATAAGTGATAACAGCACTTAGTCACCAATAAATCAACCGACATTTATTAAGCACTTACTGTGTCAGTAGGCCCTTAGTCAAAGCTCATCGATTGACTGGCCCAGGTACCATGTCTGATAAATGGACAAGGTTGGATTTGAATGCAAACCTTGCCCTGTCCTTTCCTAAAGCCCTGTAACGGCAGGACGGGGTTGTTCAGGAGGTCTTCCTGCCAGACCTGTCCCCCCCACCTCGAGCAGTAGAGGTGACCCCAGGTTCTTCAAGGCTATGCCAGCAGAGCCCAAGTTCTAGCCAAGTCCCACCAGGGCCAGAAAGGCTTTGGGCACAGGCCTGGCAAGAAGCAGCAGAGCTCTGTGCGTAGACTGGCCATCAGATTGGCTATGGCGTGATGGAGTTTTTGGCTTGAAAAACTCTGCTAAAGCATCAAAAGGTTCCAGTCTGCGTCAGTGGAGAAAGCCCAAACCATGGCTCCTTAAGACACCTAAGGACATGCTGTCTGGAGAGAAATCAATATATAGTTTCACAGGTTGAAAATGGGGGTCATTCCCATTTCTTCTGCATTTTCAAGGTTGTTGGTTTTACTTTTTAACTTTGCATTCTGGGTGCCTAACACATATGAGATGTTTAATCATCTTTTGATGATTCATTGATTTGCTTTCCTCAAACTAACTCTGCAATAGCATGA